AGAGAGGAGACATCATCTCTGCAAAGGAGAGCTTGGTGTTACAGTGTGTGACTTGGCTCTCAAAGAGGAAAGGATTAAAATCAAGCCTAGGTGGTAGGGTAGACAGCCTGTTATTGGGTCTGTGTTGCCAGGAGCGTTCCATGACTAGCAGAGGGTGAGGTGATTTGGCCATTTCCTTCAGTCCCTTGGTTCTTCCTTGCTAGCAATGTCAGAATATCATCTGTAGCTCTGGTCCCCCTTTAATGTTATTTTCTTGTTCCTAGAAACAAAGCTTTGCCAGGGAAAAGGAAGTAATTCTACCAACTTATGCAGATGCTTTGAGAGGCGATATGGTTAAGTTCGTTACTGGTTCATTATCTGCACGCATCTTTAGTAAAGGCATCTTTTTCAAAGTAGTGTGTGTGGTTGCACACAGACATCAGAGCAACTGGGCTAAGTCAGAACAAAACCCTAATCTAGTCTGGTATTCTGGCTCAGATGATTGTGTGTGATACCTGTTGAAAAGTAGAGGAGCATAGCAAAGATCCACACCACTTCCTTTGGATACTCAGAGTTTGCTACTATTTGCTGAAACCAGATTTGTTTAGCAACTCCCAGTGGATTTCTTTTCTATGTGTTCATACAGATCATAAGAGAGGATGGGTTAGTGTCTGTTCAGCAGTGGATGGATGTGGTGGAGTGGAATATCCAGTCTGTACTAGGGTGATAAATTGAATATTGCTTAGTGTGTTGGCTGCTCAGAGAAAGTAGTAGCTGAGATAGTCACGGAGGTGGTCTTGTCTCCAGCCTCTAGGGAGCTGGTTAGTTAAGCTACTCAGCACATTTGTACAGGAAAGATTTTGGTGATACACCATGGAAAATAATGGTCTGAAGTAGGGAGGTAAAGAGAAAGACTGTGATAGAAACTCCAATGTCATAATATGATATTAATTGATGGCGGAAGTTAGTGATTACATGGATGGGCCTCTCCTGTCTGAAAACCCATGTTTGTGATAGGAGTTCCCAGGAATTCCTGCTCTGAAATGTCCCAGGATGACATAATCTGCTAGTACCACACCATCTGCTTCTCCATCCATCCTAGACCTACCAGAAGCATATCAATATAATGAGGCTTTTTAGTTTCTTTCCTTTCTGGGCATGGTTCACCATCCTGGTAAGACTTTCGCTTCTATCTCTGTGTGAAAGGTGGATAAATGAAGTGAATAACACAAAAGCTGACTCAGAGTATCTCCCAGAATCTCAACTATCTCACCAGACACTTTGATCTCTGAACCAAATCAGAGATCAGGGAAATCAGGGAAGGCTTGAAAAAAACCTGGAAAATTCCAAATTCTACTTTGTCAGGGACCTGCATTAAAAGCTCTTAACCAATACGCTACAAGCTGTAAATGCAAAGAGGTTCCTCTCTGGGTTTAAATCTTGAGTCCTCGGCTATCTGCCGCTTTTGTGAAGTGGTTCCAGTCTAGTTAGTTTTCCTCTCTGCCTCTCTTAGCTTCTGAGCTGTTCTCTGTCTCTGCTGAAGATGGAAATGAGACAGAATGCTCCAAGTCCCCTTCTGTAGGGTTTATGGCACGATTTTGCAGGCAGTATGCGATGCAAGCATGAATCACAGCTCCCTTTAAGATACTGCTGCAGTCGATTCCCTGGCTCTTCCATCTGACTCAGAACAGGCTGTAGATTTTTGTTTTTAATCTAAGCAGTAGCCAGTTTACTCCAGAGATGAGTATTTGCTGACTGTTGCAACTCTGAGCATAAGAACAGCAGCAAAACCCTTGGAAAACGAGGCCAGCTTGTGCGTGTGTGTACAAACCTGGTTTCAAATCTGGCTCAGATTCTCTCTTCCAGCTCAGCAAGTGACTGACATGTTCACTTTAGCATAGCTTCCTCCCGAGACAAGCCGTGGGCTGTGCCAAAGTGCCGCGAGGCGTTCGCTGCGTGTTCAGTCGCACACTGGAGGCAGATTCTGCAGCACCCTGGAGACAGGGGTGAGATGAGGACAGTAGCAGCCATGATTCAGATCTGCTTTGCATTTTGGTCTTGCTGATAGATAATACTGAAAATTTTCATTTGCAGTGAACCAAGATGCAAATCCGATCCCACTTCAATAATGCCCCTGCGTTATTGAACTGATTTGAAAGAAAGTACTAGGCCAGTCCTACTTCCATTCAGTTCAAATTCAGGTGTGGCTGAGGTTATTGCAGTTCAGTCCATAATGGTTCATTAAAGGGATCCATAGGGAAAAATATGCCATTTAAATACAGAAATGCCCATGTGATGGTCGTAACACCTGGCATAAGCCAGAGAAATTCTTCTGTGCATCTCTCCTTTGTCTCTGGTGGGGCCTCGTCATCATTTGTGTTTCCAGGGCTGTCCTGCAGCCTGGCTCTTGGCTCCTTCAGTTGGGCAGGGTGGGTTTTGAGGGCTGTGGACCTGTGCTGGGAACAAGAGCGGTGCAGTCAGGTGAGGGACAGGGAAGACTTGTGTTCTGACAGTGCTGTGCACAGATGAGGTGAACAGGTCTCCGTGCATTATTCTAACATGGTAATCAAGGAGAGGTTTGATTTTTCCCTGCTTGTTTGCTTGTTTGTTGTTTGGATACAACATAAACTTTAACATGGAAGTAGAAAAAGCTATAGCGGAAAGTGGCTTTCAGTTTAACTTTCTTGTTTGAAATACAAAGCCTGATGCAGACCAGCCTCTGCAGATAGCCCTGACTTTGATAGCTGGCAAGAGCGTTTCTAATTTAAAAAGTCTCCCTTCTCTTCCTATTAGTTACTCCTCTCAGCAAGGCAGCTGGCGTGACCTGGGGATGTAGTGCTTGTATTGTTGCTGTGAGACAATAGCTCAGCCTGAGGGAAGAAGACAACCTACTTACCATGTCCTCTGGGAGTTGTTACAGTGAGACTCTGTAGAAACCAGTGTTTCTCTAAAGCTTACTGAGGCTATCTGCGACTCTGAGGAGTTAACCCATGAGATCTGGGAGATCAAAGAACTGAACTGAGGGCTATGTGTCCATGGGAGACAGGCTTTGGTCTCCTCAGCAGATGTGGCTGGTGTCATATGGGCTCCTGTATGCAGCCTCCACCTCTGCATCTTCTTCCCCAGTCAGAGCAGAGGACTGCAGAGGACAGGGCAACAGCGACCTGTAGAGAAGGGCAGCAGAAGGCAAGGGCACATCACGTCCCTAAATACCAGGCATGGCGTTCAACAGAGTGGTCACTGCTAATCTGCTGGCAGTGGTTGAGAGCTACCTGACCTAGCTCCACCCCGATGCTCTGGTGTATCCTAAAAACAAGAGTTTGTATGATTCAAGTGAAGAGGTAAGTGGAGGTTATACAAGGTCTGAAGAGAGCAGTGGGCAGGGGCCCAGCTAGGGTCAGGTGGTTTGCTGCCTTCCTGCAGTAATACATCATTTGTGACACCAAAACTCACAAAGAACAAGCAGCAGCATTACAGGGAAAGGGAACTGCTGTACTGCCAGAGGCAAGCGTTTTGGGAGACATGGTTTAAGATATCAAGACTGGCCATACATTAAGGCAGCCTTGGGACTGCACTTTTCACATCAAAACTACTGCGTTTTTCCACAGTAGCAGTGGTCTCACAGAAAGCATTTCTGGGTGATTTACAGAGCTATTGCAGTCATCAAAAATACATAAGCAAGCAGTGTGAGGAAAGTAGATGGCATATGCCAGACCTCTGGTTACCTGACAGCAGAGGGGTTCTCACACATACAGCTCAGTGACACCAGACACCAGGGAAGGTGCAGCTTATGCTGGCTGCACCAGAAGCAGCTACCAGACCCAAAAGAGGATTTTAGCTGAATGAACCTGTCATGTCATTGTATGAGGACAAGTGAACAACATTTGCTTTTCTTGCAGTGCTTGATGAAAATAAGAATTCAGTTGCTCTGAATGACTAGAGATGCATCTTCACTGTGCAGTAGCTGTAAGTGAACTGTAAATATACCAGGCACGGGCAGTTTCCACTCAGTTCCTGAAAATATAATTTCTGTAGCAGTACAGCTCTGCAGCTAACCTAATAAATACTGGTGCTGAGCAGGGCTAATTATCTCCAATGCAGCACTGCCCTGGCATGGCTGTGCAGCTTCTCGCTCCATAATTAGCTTAGCTGGGACTTGTTTGGGTGTCTGCACTGTCCTTCATGGTATGGTGGAAACAGTGAGCAGTGCTTGGTGGAGAAGCATCTCAGGCATGCACCAGACTGCAGTATTCCCCTGCTTTTAATGTAATGGGGAAGTGCTGGACTCCAGAGCAATGAAGTCACTTAACAACTCTTCTTGAAAATTTGTCTTTGACTTGGGTGAAGTTGTGGTCACCTTAGACCTAATTTTGGAGCAGCAAGCCCTTGCCTCTTCTGAAAACACTGTTTGATAGTATATGGTACCTCTGAGCAAAATGTTGGCTAGCATGCTCCGAGTTTCTTTTTTTTTTAAATTTTTTTTTAAGCAGTTACCAATGTCATATAGATAATTACTAAATGGTACTTCTCTGACCTACAGGGGAATAGACCTCTGTCTCTATGATCTCATTGCCTAAAACCATCTTAATAAAAAGCGGATGTTGGGAGGTGATGTAAGTAGCTGTGTGGAAAATATTTGGGGATTCTCTAACTCAAGGTTTTGAAGAACAGATACAACAAGTGAATTGGTAAAACTGGCTCAGTGTCAGCTACTTAAGTGAGAAGATCCTATCACTACATCCTATCACTAGTTCAGGTCCAGTTATATCTTAATACAGGTTAATGCCTTACATGGAAAGGATTGATGAGCATTTTTTGAGAACTAATCCCAGCCAGCTGTATAAACACAGTGCCCATTTGTGTTGGTCTGTAAAGACACTCTGTTTGTCTAAAGGTAATTTCAAAACCACTCTTGTCCTTAAAAGAAGTTATCCTGAGGACAGGAGATGAGGGATATACCTTAGACCAAGATTGTGTGTTTTCCACTAATGCTTCCAAATGTGGCTTTTCTCTTACTGTAGTACTGGATAAATGAATACACCTCCACCTTGGGGATTGGTGTCTTCCACTCTGGCATCGAGATCTACGGGAGAGGTATGAAGTATTTCCTTTTCACTACCTGCAGAGCATGGGGGCAACTGTATGGCTAGTCTGATATGGAAAAGCACCCCAAACTTACAGCTTTTGGCAAGGAATGTTTTCAGGAATGAAAAACTCGGCTAGTTCTCTTTTTACAGTCCATTGTGGAGTCCAGCAGGAACTTGTGCAGTTCTGTCATGAACCATATAGCCCTTCATATTTTCAGCATGTAACTGCAGCCTCTGTAGCTTGTGCAGGTGTGTAGCAGGATGGCAGATAGGAGGGACCAAGTAATGTTGGAAAGGCTTTTGCCGGTGAAGGAGCAGGAGAGAGAAGAGGGGAAATAAGGGAGGAGGAAGAGAGGCAGATCAGTGGTTGTCTTGAGACCTCCATATGCACATTGGTGCTAATTCCCTGCCAGGGTAAATCTGTTTTGCAGTAATTCTTTATGAATGTCTATGGTCTAGGAATCTTGGAATATGGATTTCCAGATCTTGGAAACTGCTCTTTTGAAACATCAGAGTTACAAGGAAAAGAAAATGTCTTGTAAGACTTTTGAAATTGTCTGGATGGGGTTGAAGCTGCTTAGAGCACCTACTGCAAAAGGCGCAATCAAGGGATCCGGGAAAACAGCTGTAGTGCAGTGAAGGACAGACTAGTATCACAGACTTCCCGTTTCCTTCTTCAGCATTAAATGGGAATGACTTGGGGTATCTTACTCATGTTTTTTTTAGCCAGTGCCATGCAGTACATAAACCCCTGAGGTGCCATGCTCCATCTTGAGCACAGAAGCTTTCCCAGGCTGTGTGAGATGGTGAGGTCTACAGGCTGTGTTTCACAGGCTGTGCAAGATAGCTTGTATGACATGGAGGGACCTCCTGGCTCGACCTGCCTGCTGAGGCAGCAGAGCACAATCAGCTTGACTTTCTGCAAAGAATTCCCAGTTGCTACCTGTAAATCCCTCTGGAAGAAGACGATTGATTTCTCCCTACTCTAGAAAAGACTTCCTCCAGCTGGGTACCACCACCGACAGTCTATCGTAGTGTTTCTACATGCTTCCACTGCAGAACTTTCCACTGAGAAGAAGCCACTTGGACAGGGACACAGGGAGACTCGGAGATTTTTCCTGGTGCTGTGGGAAAGCAGTAGTGTTAAGATGGAAGGGAGGCTGTGAGGGCATCCTCAGGCTGATAGGTAACCGGACAGAGAAAATGGCTTTCAGAGTCTGTCTGAAACCGATGTTGGCAACAGCCCAGCCCCTGCTGCTGATGCTGAGCCGTGCAGACAGCTGCCATAGACTTTCTCCTAACATTGCGTTCATTCAATTACTCACAGTCTGTTTCTTTCCTTGTCAGAGTTTGCCTATGGAGGGCATCCCTACCCTTTCAGTGGGATTTTCGAGATCACACCTGGCAGCGCGGTAGAACTTGGCGAGACCTTTAAATTCAAGTAAGGGCCCTTTTCTACATCTTCCCCTCTGCCCCCGGCAGCCATCGGTGTAGGGGGAACAGGGAACTCCTGTCCCCTGGGTCCCCCTTTCCCTCTCCTCATAAGTGCCCTAACTGCATCCTGTTCGTGATCCTGGTTCAAAGGCAGCCCTGCAGGGATTTTGGAGGTGGATAAAAGAGCGTGTACACTAAACAGGGAACAGTGCTGAACTGTGTTTGGCAGGGTTTAAAAGCATACTTACAAATGAATGCAGTTCTCTCTTCCCATTTTCTTCATTTTCTGTGCTCCCAGTTTCACCTGTCAGCCGGAATGGGAGTAACTGTGTTACACAGAGCCAGCGCACGGGGGGAAAAACAAAACCTAGTCTTTTTATGAGTATCACCTATTTATGGATACTGCACAGACTACCAGAAGTCATCTTGTGTGTTTATTGCTACTCTGTCCCAAGGGACAGGCCAGCTGCTAGAGGAGTCTGAGACGATGCTGCATTAACGTGTTGTTCAAGCTGCTCAGGCTGTGGGTCAAGGAACTGCCCATGGCAAGTGGGGCTTGACCTTCCCAGGCTGCGTTTATGTTGAGGTTTGTTGGAGACTTTTAGAAGCATTATTGCTGTTGAGTGAATATTGGGAGAAGCAATAGGTTTCTGCATAGAGTTCTCAGTCTGCTCCTTCCTGGTCCACCCCATGGAAAACGTCTTCCTTGTTGGCAAATCATCTCCTCTGTCCTACTGGAAGTTACTATGGAGGGGCGATGGCAGAGTGGGAGCAGATCCCCAGAGCTGAGACTTTCCTGGTGGTAAGCAGGAAGTCCTTGGGGTTGTAGCTTGTGCTGTAACCTGCTTTGTGGATAAGCTGGGGACATTACTGTGCCATTTTGTTAGTGAAAGTCTCTGATAGCCCCAGACATGCATGTCCATGTTTTAAGCCTGTCCTTCTTGCCATTTCTGGCAAGATCATTTGCCTGATCTTGTCTGATCATTTCCTTTTTCCTGGGTATGTGTCACTCTCTTCACTGTATCTGTCCATGTTTCCTGTTGCGTGTTTTGTTTTTAACTAGAGAATCTGTTGCCTTGGGCACTACGGACTTCACAGAAGAGGACGTGGATAAGATTATGGAAGAGCTGGGCAAGGAGTACAAAGGCAACGCGTACCACCTGATGCACAAGAACTGTAATCACTTCTCTGCTGCTCTGGCTGAGGTGGGCACAGCTATCTCTTTTTTTTTTTTTTGGTATTTTTTGCGGCTTCAGATCTGTAGTAGTGCTTACAGAAAGGGAACTGGGGTCAGCACAGCCTGCCAGGCCAGAGCCCACTGCCCTTAGTATTTTTGGAAGCCCTTTGCTGTTGAAAGGGATGGGAGCAGGAGGTGGAGATGCGGCAGGTTTATCACACATTTGGTCTAAATTATGTGGGGAAATTAGGAGTGACTGCATTTTGTTTCACTGAATAGGCACTGAGCAGGAATTGGAAGGACAGACCTGTCTAGCATGCAAATGTGCATCACTTCAATAACAAGCACAAATAACCCTACATGATCTGCAAAGGAATAAAAATGGCTTATCAGTGTTCTGCAAACAAAAATTTGCAGTATTCAGGAAGTGGGTGTCCCTTTTCCTTATTTAATATGCACCATCTAAAACCCATTTTAAAAAACTATTGATTTTTCTCATAGCCATCTTCCTTTGCTTGCTCGTTTTCATGTTCACAAAACCACTGTGAATTATAACAGAGCTGTTATTTCTCTTCAGAGAGAACTGAAGCACAGAGAAGCACAAATTTATCTTGAGTGTCTGCTAATTTGGGATATTTGATTTTCAGTTCCTGAAGATTTGAATATCTGGGGGGAAGCTGCTTTCTGCCTCACCCCCCAGATGAAATGCTCAAAGTGTGTTTCAGTTAAGGTGTGAGTATTCAGCACTTGGCTAAGTCTCAATTCAAGATCTTGACCCAGTGCCAGAAAAAGACATGAACAGCACAAAATGCAAGTGACAGTCCATAAAAACTGTTTCTGTGCTTTCCATAGGTGTGTTATGGCAAATGTAAGGATAGAATCTCATTCTTTGCAATAGAGTTCAACTACTTTAAAAGTGAAACTTGAATTTCTCTTTCTGGAGTCCCCATCCTCATTCATTACACATTTCTCACCTTTCTTCATCATACGGGGCAAGAGTCCTGTGCCAATAACCTCTTTTGCCACAAGTGTCCATTCATGCCCAAATAGGCCTATCGGGGATCTTGAGCGCAGTGAGATTCTGTAAAAAAACAAAAACGTATGATTTTGTAAGAAAATTTCTAGTGAATCTGTGAACCAGCAATTAATTTAAGAGGGACCGGCTTAGGCTCTTAGGATGACCAGTTCTTTATTGGTTTCATCCTCCCTAATTATAGAAAGAGAAAATAACATTGAGTCCTTTCTGTAAATGTTAGCAGATAACAATAAAGAGGAAGGAATTGTATTGGTACAAACAGAGGATGAAGTTTCAAGCAGTACAGTGATCAATGTTAGCCACGCTACGTTGTTTTGGAGTCAAATTATCAAATTACTACAGCAGAAAAGAGGAACTTAAAGATTATGAAGGAATCCCAGGAGAAAGCTATGTGACTATTAGCAAAAACTAAAAAAACTCTCTACCTACAGCAGTGAAATAAGGTCATTACTTTGATATGTAAAATTTCTCTCTCATGTCCAGGCCACAAGCTCAAAGCCATTCTTCCTTGATTCCACTGCTACTTGTTGGTGAATCCCTCACCACCCCTCCCTTGTCCAACCTTCCAACACAAGTCAAATAAGATAGATCTCAATAAAAACCTACTAGCATATTTTAAATTTTGCTTTAAATACACCTTCAGTGAACATCTTTATAGGAGTGGAATTTAGGGTTAAGTTTTCCTAAAGAGCTTTCTTGGTGGATTCTGTGTGGTCATTCACTGCCCCATAATCTGTCCAGATAATAAAACAAAAGTCTAACTGGCTAGTTCTGACACTTCTGCTCCCAGGAGTAGAATTTACTCAGGTCAATTTAAATAAACCCTCAATAGGTGAGCAGGATTTCTTGTTGCTGTTGCTCTTCACATATGCCTATGTTTATCGTTCCTCTCCAACATATTAAAAATGCAAATCCAGAGGAGGTGCACTTCAGGCCCAGGAGCAGAAGGCCCTGGATGGTCTCTACATCAAGATACAGAAAATGTGAGCTGGAATTCTTAAAGAAATAGCTGGTGTTAGAACACTAAGCCAAAGTCCTAGTCATTCAACGTGCCTCAGTCAGCAACATTAGAAATGTGGCCACCTCATGACAGATGTCTCCATCCCTTCTGGTAAACACAGTAATTTGGCAATCACTGTGTTTTGGAGCAGGATGAGAAGTAGCATAGCTTATCTTGGGATACTTCTGACCTCTTGGCGGAAAGACTGCTTGTAATCTGTTGAGACAGAGGCTGCTTGAACTGAAAGCAATGAAAGTTTCTATTCTCATTTCCCAACATCTGAATGCTTGCTTAACTTTACAGCCTTAGTGCTTTTTTTTTTTTTTCTTGCTGTAGTTCCCATTAAAACAAAACCAAACCTATCACATTAGGAAGCTCCAGGCCCTACCATGTAGAGCTATAACATGCAGCCTTATAGTGTGCAGAACGTGCTGACTACATGATGAGTGGCTCTGAAGGCTGTGTAGATATGTGTCACCACAGGGTGGAAAACAGAACTGATATTTGTGCCCTAAAACCAATCCTGAGACAAGTCTGTTCAGTGTTTGCATCGCCCTTTCCTTCAGACTCTTCATCTGTGAAGCAGCAATAATAATAATAACTAGCACCTATTTATGCACAGCCATGTTATGTGACAGTTAAAGACGGGAAACTGGAAAAAGTATTCAAAGAATTAGCAGAAAAAAATGTAGAAATTTTGTTCATCAGAATAAAATCGCTCACTGGAACCGGGATTTAACTCTAGCAACACAAAAGGCAGCCAAGGATTTTAAGTGAGTATAAACTCCCAGTCTCTCTGCTGCTGTAGCCCAGCTGAAAGGTGATGCTATCAGTACTGCAACGCCCTTTCACCACAGAGAGGGGTGGGGACGGAGGCTAATTTTTATCCTGAAAGGGGGAATGACCAGCTCTGCTCCCTACAGCCCTTGAGGCCTTTCTGCCCAGGGGCGTAAGCAGCGTGGTGAGTTCAGGAGGTGGTTGTTCTGAGCCTCCTGGGTAATGCCAGGCAAGTCACATCCCTGTCCTGTGCCTAAATATCCCTCCTTGCATGCTGGGTTATTTCCTTCCTTCAAAAAGGGCTCTGAAATCTTTTGACGCCAGCGGTCTTATTTGCCAAGGTTACTTAGCTGGTTCATGGCTTGTATTGCTCTGTATAAGCCAGCTTCACAGCCGTGTGGTGATGTGTGAGTTACTGTGTGTTTACACAAATTCGTCTGGCGAGCCTGAAGATTTGGTTGTACGGCCATGTGCTAGGTAGCTGTGTTTGGCCTCCTTAATTTCCTCGTCTGGCTTGCTAATTAGTATCCATACAGATGTTGCGCCAGTGGCTGGGCCCACAGGGGCCTCCATGGTTGGGAGGATACCATCTGGTCATATGGACTGAGGGCAGATGCAGCCACGTGTCCTGCTGGCTGAGGTCACGATTCTGCAGAGGGAACGGGAAGGAGGTATGAGGCTGGCTCTCCCTTTCTCAGGATCACACCGTGAGACAACGTCCGCATGTCCGATCACCAGGACCTGTAAGCCAGGTTCCCCAACCTCAGGAGGACTACTGAAGCCACAGGAGTCAGACTTTTATTTTTAAAGTTTTTCTTTTCTTGTCCTTCTCCTGTGTTTTCTCATCCTTCTCCTGTGTTTTCTCAGCAAATAGAACAGAAATCTTTGACCTATACCTGTTTATGAATGATTTTTCTGTCAAATTCATGTTTAATACAATGATGCCTCAGGTACCACCACCTTAACTGCTAACTGTTGTCTTTAACAGTTATAAAATTTGTGGTCTCACTAAGTGATGCAGACTGACTATCCTAATGGTTAGGGGCATGTCCAGACCTACGTTCATGACTATGCCATTTGGCTATTCATCTTGAAAAATCCCTGGACTGCAGCAAGTCCAGCACAGGCAGATAAGCTCTAGTTGACCACTGGGCATGACTTTGACCTGCTATCTACCTCTGAAAAAACTCACTTTGCAGTGCAATTGCAGCATAATTGCATGCTGCTGTGGCATTGAGCGTCTCCCTACAATGCCATGCATCTCTTCTGAGTCTTCTACCCACATTCACTTGTAAGCTGCAAGGGGTTTCTTACTCCCCCATTGGCACTTAGCTCTGAATTTTCCTTACTTCCTGCTGCAGACTGCCAAGCATATTCATACTTGCTCAAGACTTGGATCTCTCCTTGCTTTGCGAGTTCCCTATGGACTTCTAATGAGCAGCTACTGGATCAAAGAGGCATGGCTGGGTCTACTCACAAAGCAGCTCCTGTGGAAAGAAAACAAAGAATGTCCCGGTTTCAGCAGCAGTTCAGACTTCATCTTTTCCAATGCCATTTCATGGCAGCTTTCTCATTTCTCAAACCAGCGAACGTGCTGCATGATCAGGATTCTCTTCCTGTGGATTTCCTGAGAAGTTCTTCTTCATCAGAGAACTTTGGGTTATTTAAGAAGTGAAGAATGACCAGAGAGTGTAAGTCTCTGCCTAGTAAGTGCCACACACCATCTTCGTTACAGTTTTGAAGGAAGTTCTGACGTAAAGCAGGGCAGAATTTCCTAGTGGATAGTCATGAGAGAGTAATCAGATGCACTCCCTGTGCATGTGCCCAGATTCAATTTAAGGTAGCTGGTACATGCTCCACTTAATAGCTCTTTGCGGTCTCCCTTTCACCCTTGTGGTCTGTATCAGTGTGGAAAGGTGAAGGGAGCTTGATCTAAGCAGGGAAAGTTAGGGTTGCCTCAACCTTTCTGACTACTGCAACATGGTCCCATGGTACTTATATTTATAAACCACCTAAGAAAATTGTTTGTGGGTTAAAATGAAGAGGTTCAACAAACTGGGATTAGCAATTTGCCTCCAAGAGGCTTATTCCTTTCATGTTGCTTATGTTGACTGTCCCCAAAATCAAGTAGTATCAGTACCATGCTCTCTGAAGAAACTGTCCAGGAGGATGGGCAATTCTTTGGGGGACTTATGCCTGCACTTTCTGCAAAGAA